TTTTAAAGATGTGTTTAATCCATTGGAGAATTATTGTATATGATGTGAAGAAGCAATATGATTTTATTTTCTTCCACTTATTGAACACACCTTTATTTTCTCAATAATTTGCAGCGATAGATCTTTCACATATTACATTCTCATATATATTTGTTTCTTTCTGGCTTTATTGGTTTGTCTTTATTACTACAGTTTTATTATGTCTTTGTAAATTGCCCCACCTTGAGTTTTGTCTTCAGGTATGTCTTGGCTATTTTTCCCCCTTTACTTATATATTTTTTATAATAAGCTTTTTTTTTTTTCCCCTTTTTGTCTTTTTTCGTTTCCGGCAACGGATCGCAACCCTCAGTGTCGCGCCCGTACCGGACCGGGACTGGCAATGGGATCGCAACCCTCCACGTCGCTCCCGCACCTCGCTCAGCCAGTGAGCGGGAACTGGTCTGTATGTGGGATCCGAACCCTCGGCGGGAGCGCCGTTGCGCTCCCAAGCGGCGCACTGTAGCAGTGCGCCACCGGGCCGGCCCAATTATAATAAGCTTTTTTAAGCTCTTCAAAACTCTTTGGGATTTTGGTTTGGAACACATTTAGTCACTAGATCGAGTTGAGAGGAATTGACATGTTTTACGGTATTAACACTACCCCAAAACATGGTTTCACACTCAATTTATTTTGGTCTGTAGTATCTTTCAATAAAGCTTAATTGTTTTCTCCATAAATGGCTTGTGTATCTTTTCTTAGATTTATTTTTAGTTATTTTATATTGTTTTGTGATTATAAATGAAACATGTTTTATGATTATAAATATTTATGAAGTCATCTTTTCTCCTAGATGATTTTTGCACTTTTACAGAAATGCAGTTGACTTTTATGGATTGATTCAGCATCAGCAACTTTGCCAAACTCTTAATCAGTTTCTGTAAATTATGTAGAAACTAGCTATTAGTTTCTAATATTTATTTATGTACATTTATTTTTAGGTTTCTATGTAGATAGTTATATGCAAATGATGAAGATTCTTTTCTTTCTAATCTTTGTACCACCTTCTTCCTCCTCATCCTCCTGCTCTTCCTCTCTCCTCTCCTTCTCTTCCATTTTTAAAAAAATTCTGTTTGAAATTCCAATACAGTGTTGAAAAGGAACGTGTTTATAGTGGAACTCCTTATATTGTTCTAGTATTAAAAGAAATGCTTTCAGTCTTTCAGATTCATGACATATGTTATAGTTTTTTTTGTAGATTACCTTCATCAAGTTTAGGATGTGTCTTTCTATTCTTCTTTTGTCAAGATGTTTAAAAATATTAGAATGTTTGTGGAACTTTTTGATTGCTTTTTCATCTTTTGAGAGGATTATGTAGTTTTCCTCATTTAATTTATTAATGTTATAAACCCCACAATAAATTTTTATTATTTTATTTTTTAAAATTCATAAAGTTCAATATTTTTATTTTTATTTTATTGTACTCTGAAACATATTCAGTGTATCACCTTGAATTTTGTTCATTATTCAAGTATTGTATATGTTTTAGAATTGATGGTCCTTTGTCAGTTTTCCAGGGTAAAGAGTGAGAATGTTCAATATGATGATTCAGGTCTTATTTTAAGAAAGTTTTCTGAATAATTTTTATTTATTTATTTATTTATTTTATTTGTATTATTTTTTACTTTTTATTTTTTTTGGCAGCTGACTGGTATGGAGATCCAAACCCATGACCTTGGTGTTACCAGCATGGCACTCTCCCAAGTGAGCTAACCAGCCAGCCCTGAATAATTTTAAAATATTTATTTGTATTCAATTTATTTTCTTTTTCAGGAAATTCAGCTATACATGTATTGGATTCTTGTTAGCTGGATTTTTTTTGTTTTAATTTTTTTCATTTTTTTAAAATCAATTTCTCTCTGACCCTTTTTTTTTTGTTAATACAATTTATTTATTTTTTTTGCTCCCTTTATTCCATTTTTATTTATTTATTTATTTGTATTTTTTAATGTAATTTTATTAATATTTTTTACATTCTAGGATGTTGTTGTGGAGCAGTTGGGAGGGAGGGGGAGAGGGGAAAAGGGAAGGAAAAGGGATGGAAAAAGGAGGAAGGAGGAGGGGTGGGGTTGAGGCCTGTGGCACCCCCCTCATTCCCACTGGGGAGACCAGGGGCTTCCAGCGGTGGCTTGGTCATTGCCGGGCTGGGTGCAGATGACTGACCCTTTTTTAATATATGTTTTAATTTCAGTTTCATTTCTTAGTTTTATTTTAGTTTCAGTTTCTGTCTTCTGTGTCTCTTGCTGTTACTTCAGTTGTTGTTATCTTTTCTCCCTTATATAACTTTTAATTTGGTCTTTATTTCTTGGATAATTTCTATCTTACTCTTACATTTTTTTCTGAACTGGGTCAGTTCCTATTTAACATCTTTCATGAAAATTAACCTGTATAGAGTGGGCTACATTAAGTGGGTTGTACAAAATAACTGATATATGAGAGCGCTGGAGACATGGAAATCAAAAGGAGGGCTGTATTACTGTTTTCCTTTATTTAAAAAGTGTTTCCTTCTGCTGACATGTTTTGATTGTGATTTTTTATTTTTTATAGTAAGTTTTTATGGATATTGGATTCTTTTTTCTGTTCATGATTATTTGTGTTTGATTTTTCTGATCAAGCAATAGCTAGTGCTCATATAGAATGTGGTATTTTGGATAACCTACTCTATTTCTTAGTTTTGGAAGGCCCTCTTCTCCTGCTACACTGAAGTTCAGTTTCTTTAATAAATAATTGTGGTTGTTTTTTTGGCATGTCATCTTTCAATTCTTTGATCCTGTCTTGTTTCTGTAGGGCCCTTATCTTCAGGTTCTTTTTTCTTTCCCTTCATCATGGACAACCTTCTTTCCAAGGTGCCTCTCTCTACCCCAGGAGTGAGTAGTCCCTTGCTAGGATTGCTGTTTCTTGTTCTTCATACTTTTCAAGCTCCTTCTCTTGTACCCCTGTCTCCAGAACTCTGATCCATTGTGATTTTTGCCTGGTCCCCGTAAGGTAGGCCACTCTTTTTTGACAGGTCAATATTTAATGATATTGTGTTCCACCACTGCTAGGACCCTGAGGCACTTTCTTTGTTTCCATGTTTTCACTCTGGTTTGGCTCAGGATCTAATTCTTCTGATTTGGGATCTTTTATTGGCCACTTACATGTTAATTCAGGGCTCGGTATTCACTTTCTTCTCATTATGATGTAGGTATGGATATGGGCGTTTTTATTTAGTGTCTTTGTTGATCTATATGGGTCTTTGGAGGATGGAGAAAGAAATTTAAATTAAACAGTTGCCATTACCTTATGGGATCTAGCCTCCGGGTGAAAAAAAATCATTTTGTATATTTCTCCTAATCTAGGTGCTAAAATATAGTTGTGCTTCAGATCTTATCTGTTGCTATAGAGACTCTTGAAAAATTTTACTCAAGTTCTATTTTTAATACATTCTTTGGTTAATTGATTCTTTATTCATCTTTACTTTTATTGTCAAATTGGGTGTGGATTGTTTATCTTCCATGATTGTTAACCATAATAAATCTTTTGGGCAGCTGTTTGAAAACACAATAGGATTTTGGAGGAGAGCCCAATTACATATATTTGAAAAAGTTTGTCAGTTGATCCTAGTAGTATATACTCCAGGGTAAAAACCACTACCATAGGTTGAAGTCATGGTTAGTGTTCTTGCACAATGTGAGATTATCCATCTAGTAAATTGTGAGCCTGTGATGTGAAGGAATTAGACTTCCATGGTAATGATTTTAATTGTCACTTTATTTGTGAATGAAATAGTTGAGATAACAACTGGTGTGGCTAATTTATCATGCAGTATATTCAATTGATATTTCATTGAAAGGCTACTGTGTGTTGGATATTGTACTAGGTACCAGGGATACAAACTGAGAAGACATCATCCTCGTACTCATTCTGCTCAAAGACAGATGTGGAGACATACCAATAAATACTCTATAAGTATGATATGTGGGATATTAGAGTGTGGACACAGGATACTTTAGTAAGTGGTAAGAGGGGGGAATCAGGTACAGTTTTCTTGCTCCTCCTTCCCTCCCTCCCTCTCTTCTTTCCTTCCTTTCTCTGTTCTTTCTTCCTTCCCAGTGAGTATTTGTTGGGCACCGTGGTAGATGCTATGGATAGAGTGGTGAACAAAGCAGTCATAGACTCTGTTTTCAGAGTCCACACTCTTGGAGAAGGTGGATGCTAGATCATAAATGGGAACAAGTGTTCAGGGTACTTCTGGGGTAGTAAGAACTGAGTTTCCTGGGAGAGATGATTCTTAAACTGTGAGTCTTGAATAAGTTAACCATGTAAAGAAGTTGGGACAACGATTTCACAGGTTGCAAAGATTCATATATGGGAAAGAGTGTACTGCTCTTAAGATAAAATAAGTTGTTCAGTGTCCTTGGATTGTAGGACATGCTGGAGGATAGATGAGCCCAAAAATGTAGATGTGAGGGGAGTCTCAAATGAATTCTGTATTCTCATTGCTATCATGGAGGTATGTTTAAGGATTTATATACCAGACATGTCTGGGAGTGTAGTGACTAAATTGAGACTGAAAGAATTAATAGGTGGTTGCTTATATAATATAGTATATAATAGGGGTTGGAGGGGTTGGGAGAGAAATGCACAAAGGCAGAGAGGCATAAGAAGACATAAGATGTTGTGGTAATATAAATCATTCAAGATTCTGAGAGTATAAAATGTGAGGTGAAGTGTAATGGAAGGTGAGACTGGGTATTTAGGCAGTGAGGGGATCATGAAGGTGCATTTATACATAGAAATGAGTTTGTGTTTTATATTTCATTTGTTAGGGGGCTATTAAGAATGTATTATATAACACCCATTCTAAAAAATTATCTAAATATTGAGACGTGTAGAAACATCTTCATATAGCAGCTAATTCTATATTTTATCAAATAATAATTACAACTCCATAATAAGTCCTTATTTTATTGTCATATTTTCAGATAGAAAATCCTCGGTACTTGAGACAGAAACCTATCCCAGTTTCTCTGGTAAGTGAGAATTCTGTTGGTCTTTTCTAGGGACAGGTATTTTTAAATAAAGTAATCATTACGTTATTTACAGAAAATAATGAAGGTTCACATTGTGAAGCATAAAAGCTTTTTAATCCTAACACTTGGAAATGAATAATCACTTTATTTCTCCAATGTTAGTATTATTTTGTTGTGGGCTTCAGACAACTTAGAAGGTTACTTTTGGGTTAAGGATAAACTAGGCCTGAAAAAGTATTAAATAACTCTTACTCACTCAACAGATGACTCCCAAATTCAGCCTGAGAAAATCCAGCAGTCTCCATGATGATCATTTTCTCTCTCGAATGCATGAGAAAGAGGTAGGATTGAGATACTTCTGATGTTAATACACATATTTAATATTTTGTGTAATATGGATTTTCAAGTTCTAGTTAGAATAATGATGCAAGGTAGGAAGAGGTTCTCTTTGGTACAAATATAAAATCATGATTCTAGGTAGGCAGGGTTTGTCTTTCTATTTTTTAATGTCCATCTCCCATCTTGTGTGTCCCACGTCCACTTCTATTAGACAGGGGTGTGCTGAGGGCCTCTCTCCTGACTGTCAAGTCCTGCTGATCAGGGGTATAGGGGAAGTAGCAGCTTTTAGAAGCAGTGTCTTTGTACTCAGTGAATCCTTCTACCCTTTCTTTATCTCATCTTACTTGTAATGTGTCTTTCTAGTTTCACTATTCTTACCATTCCTAGTAGTTAAATTATCTGCTAAATTAAGCTATGCTATAGCTAATATATGATATAATATACTACTTTCTTGGGTCATTTTAAAGTGGAATTATTAGAGACGGTATTGTTTACTGGTTAAAAGCATAAACTGTGAAGAATACCTGGGTTTAAATACAGATTCTTCTACTTACTAGCTATGTGAAAATGGGCAAATGCTTATCTTCTCTGAATGTAAGTTTCCTTGTCTAAACTGGGGGATACCTGTTTTGCAGAATTATTATGAAGATTTTATAGTCTATAAGCACTTATATGCTTCACGCAGTAGTCATAAATGTTAATTTATTAAATTTTTATTTTAAAAATTTTATTCTGAGAAATTTAAAAATCATTATTATTTATATTTCTGCTTATGACACCAATGAGACACTTTGGTTATCTGTGTGATATGGTGAAAGACTGTTAGATTAGAAATTAGAAAAGCTTTGTCCTTAACCTATCTTTACCACTGTCTAGTTGCATGACCTAGGAAAGTCAAGAATATTAGTTCAGTTTTTGTTTAAAGAAGGGATAATTTTTTATCTCACAGGATTGTTATCAAAATCAAATGAAAATAATGAATATTTATGTAACTTGCAAATTGTAAAGCACCATTTAAATGTACAAATGTGCAGAATGTTATTACTGGACTCTAATAAATTTATTTAAATAATTTTATTTTTAATTTCTCTGCTATTTTAATGAGGAGGCTTTTAAGAATTTTTGAAGTTCATTTTCAATGTGGTTTTTTTTCAGTGTGATAGAATTTTCTTACTATTCTGTTTATAAAATATCACAAAAGACATTTCCATATTTTTTCTTAGATATTCCAAGCAATATCATGATCATATACATTTATTTTTTTTTGGTAATGGAGGAAGAAGGGCTATGTTTTCTTTTAAATTTTAATTTGGTAGATTGCTACTGATCTTAGTAATATTCTCTGTCACTACATAGCTTCAATTTAAGACATGCAGAGTTTTCTTTCTTTTCTGTTTTTTTTTTAAATAGACACATGAAAATTACGTATTTATTATTTATAGCATGATGTTCTGAAGTATATACACATTGTGGAATGACTCAATGGAGCAAATTTACATATGAATTACCTCACATAGTTATCATTTTTATTGTGGTGAGAACATTTAAAATCTAATTTTCAAAAATTGATTTTTAAAATATAATACATTGGATTTTGTGGGAAAGATGGCAGACTGGAGGTGCACAGGGTACATTCCTCCCACAGAAAAGGACCAGAACAACTAACAGACAGCTAAATATTGATGGGAGTATTGGTGGGAACACGTAGGAGTGCAGCAGGAGACTGGAGAGATCCCTGTGGAGCACAGAAGTCTAGGATGGCGACATAGAGAAAAGAGAGAGGCACACAGCCACCACATCTCTGACACTTGGATTGGCACAGGAAGAATTTTCCCTTGCAGTGAAAGGGTAGGCAGAGGACCCGTACCAACTCCCGTCCTCACCACAGATGCCTGCAGGTCCTTTAGCAGGACAAGCCCAGAGCCAGGTGTAGGGAGCACCCTAGAAAACACACTGCATTGCTCTAGAACACTAGCACAAACTGTGCACTCCTCACCTCCCACCCTTGTGACAAGCCAATACAGAATAGTGCCATCTTGATACCAGAGCCATACAGGAGCGCACTCTGCTCTGGGGACAGGAGCCACAGCACTTCCCCAGACTTAGGTCTCTGCCTTCATCCCAGTACACTCACAGGAGAGGCTACAATGTCCCGATCTCAGTGGCTTGAAGTCTGGGCTCATAGCAGCTGTGACTCTGTTCTGCAGTCTGGGAAGCTAACCCTGGTCCTGCTGAATTGATGCAGCCCCACATTCCTGGCTAGAGGTCAGACAATTAGACCCTTCTCGGTGGACCACCCCACATTCCACCCCCTATTCCCCCCTATTCCCTGTCTCTGCCAACTGACTGAATTGTATGTGCTTGAGCCTCCAACCCAGAAAAAGAGCTCATGGGTTTCTAACCTAGCAAATACACCCTTGGGCTGATGGAAATAAAGTGCATCCACCCCTCTCAGAGAAGTGGCCAGGTGGTTCCATCCTGATGAGTTGCACTTAGAAGTCTTGCCAACAGTCCCGGAAGCAGCTGCACTGGCCACCTCAACACAGGCTTGCCTAGCAGCCCAGCCCACTGCCCAGAAGTGGCTGGATGGGTCACTTCAATGAAGGTCGGCCTGGTGGCCTTGCCCATCACCCAGAAGCAGCTGGACAGGCCACTTCACTGCAGACTTACCTAGCAGCCATGCCCACCACCTGAGCAGTGGCTGGATGGGACATCTCGCTGCAGCCCTGTGTAGTGGCCTTGCCCACTTCCTGAGAAGCGGCTCTGCAGCTCCACTCTTGGCGGGATGGTTCAACATATGCAAACCAATAAATGTAATATATCATATCAACAGAATCAAAGAGAAAAAAAGATCATCTCTATAGACACACAAAAATTATTTAATGAAATTGAAGATCCCTTCATGACAAAGACTCTCAACAAATTAGGTGTAGAAGGAAAGTATCTTGCTACAGTAAAGACTATTTATGAGAAACCCATAGCTAACCTCATACTGAAAGCTTTCCTCCTAAGAACTGGAGCAAAAGAAATAAAGAGCATCCAATTGGAAAGGAGGAAGTCAAGTTGTCCCTGCTTGCAGATGACATAATGTTATATAGAGAAAAACCTAAAGACTCTACAAAAACTTTCTAGACCTGATAAACAAATTCACTAAAGTTGCAGGATACAAAATTAACATGCAAAAATCAGTAGTATTTCTATATACCTCCAACAATCTAGCAGAAAAAGAAATCAAGAAAGCTATTTCATTTACAATAGGAAGAAAAAAATAAAAAACCTAGGGATAAATTTAACCAAGAAGGTGAAAGATGTCTACAATGAAAACTATAAAATGCTGATTAAAGAAATTAAAGAAGACACAACAAAATGGAAAGCCATCCCATGCTCAAGGATTGGAAGAATCAATATTGTCAAAATGACCATACTACCCAAAGTGATCTACAGATTCAGTGCAATCCCCATCAAACTACCAATGACACACTTCACAGAAATAGGAAGAATAATTCAAAAATTTATAGGGGCAACAAGAGACACTGAATAGCCAAAGCAATCCTGTCCTGAGCAAATAGAACAAAATGGGAGATAACACACTCTCTGTCTTCAAAATATGCTACAAAGTGATAGCAATCAAAACAGCATGGTATTGGCACAAAAACAGACACACAGAACAATGGAACAGAATAGAGAATTCAGAAATAAATCCACATACCTATGGCCAACTGATTTTGACACAGGAGCCAAGAACATACATTGGGGAAAGGACAATCTCTTTAATAAATGGTGCTGGGAAAATTGGAGGTCCATGTGTAGAAAAATGAAACTAAACCCTGTCCTCACCATATACCTTAATTAACTCAAAATGGATTATAGACTTAAGACCAGAAAATATAAAACTTCTAGAAGAAAAGATAGGAGAAATACTTTAGGAAATAGGTCTGGGCAAAGACTTTATGTATAATACTTCAGAAACAGGGAACAAAAGCAAAAATCAGTAAATGGGATTATGTTAAACTAAAAGTCTTCTTCATAGCAAAGGAAACAATCAACAGAGTGAAAAGACAACCTAAAGAATGGGAGAAAATATTTGGAAACTATGCATCTGACAAGGGATTAATATCTAGAATATATAAAAGGCTCAATGGTAAAAAAACAAATAATCTGATTAAAAAGTGGGCAAGGGAACTGCATAGACATTTTTTGAAAGAAGACATATAAACGGCCAACAGGCATATGGAGAAATGCTCAGCATCACCAATCATTAGAGAAATGCAAATCAGAACCACAATTAATTATTATCTCACCTCAGTTAGGATGTCTGTTACCAAAAAGTCAGAAAATAACAAATGCTGGTGTGGATGCAGAGAAAGGGGAACTCTTCTATGTTGCTTGTGGGGATGTAAATTAGTACAGCTACTATGAACAACAGTATGGAGATTACTCAGACAACTACAGATAGAACTACCGTATAATCCAGCAATCCCACTACTAGGCATATATCCAAAAGAATGGAAAATAAGTCGAAGGGATACCTCAACTCCCATGTTTGTCATGGTTCTATTCACAATAGCCAAGAGTTAGAACCAACCTAAATGTCCTTTCATGGATGACAGGATAAAGAAAATGTTGTGCTTATAATAATGGAATACTACTCAGCCATAAAAAGGAACAAAATCTGCCATTTGTAGCAGCATGGATGAGCTTGGAGAAGATTAAGTTAAGTGAAGTTAAGCCAGGCACACAGAGAAATCCCACACGTTCTCACTTAAATGTGGGAGCTAAAAAAGTTGATCTCATCGATGTAGAGAGTAGAATAGTGGTTACTAGAGACTGGTGGGGGGGAAAGGATAGGAGAGATGGGAGAGGGTGGTCAGTGAATATAAAATATTAGAAAGATAAGAAGAATGGGATCTAGGGTTCTATAGTAATATGGGGAGACTACTGTTGACAACAAAGTACTGTGTATCTTTGAATAGCTAGTCAAGATGATGTTGAATATTCCTAA